TCGCTGAAAGCTCCAGAAGTGCCACGACACAACACACATTATTACTCTATGGTGAGTCACCATCGCTTCGATAACTCACATAGGGTCGCCATTTGTGATCGGTCCGAGGCTATTGTCATGGTGGGCTATAAAAGCCTCGCTAAACCCTGTAAAACGGAGGACAGATAGAGAGATACCGAACAGAACAAAGAAGGCAAGGGAAGCAACACAACAACACCAAACCAAGAAACAACAAGCAAAATAACGACAAAAAATGAGAAAAAGCGTGAATTACCCTCAGAGAACTCGAACGCCGCCGAAAATCCTTGTAAAAACCGAGGTAAAACCTTCGGATATCGCTTAAATCTAGGTCGATTGGCAAGTTTTTAGGACAAAAGGGCTTCGAAATAGGCTTTAGGGTGATTGGAGCTTTGATTTGGGGTAGGTTTACAAATTTCGACCACCGTGAGTGGTGGCCGGCCGATTTCTGATCTCCCTCCGGGTGGAGGTTTTAAGAGAGAGATGAGAGAAAAAAAAATTCCTCTCTGTTAGTGAGAGAAAGAAAAGAAGCAAATGAGAAGCTTTGGCCCTGGGCCGGTTATAGGGTATTTATACCCAATATGAAACGATGTCGTTTCAGGGTGTAACTGTATGTTTTGGTAACCCCGTCCGCGATCCTTCAGATTTTATAAACTTCCATTTTAGTCACTGGAAGTACATTTCTGCATATATTAATTTTATCTTCTAATTTTGTTTTATTTGTAATTTAATCCTTGCCTGTTTATTTATATTTAGGGTAAATAATAGATTTAGTCCCTTATCATTTAATTAATATTTATTTAACCCGATTAATTAATAAAGGCTAAATTACAATGTTAGTACATATCTTTTTTTAATAATTCGAATTAGGACCTTTAGGTTTTATATTTTATATTTTAGTTACTGATTTCTTAATTATTTTCATTTTTGACCATGAATTTTATATATTTTGCATTTTAATTCTATAATTTTTAATTCCTTTTATTTTAGTTATTATTTAATACAATTTTATTCTATTTATTTTTATTATCCTTTCAATATGTTCAAATTATTAAATATTATTTTATTCATATAAATATATATATTTGATTCAATAATAATATTTATTTATTTTTAAATATTAAGAAAGAGCAGTCCTAAAATAACTAGATGTCATATTCTTGTATTTTAAAAATAATAAATATCATGTTTATAAAAAATATATATTTATTTTAATTTTATGTTAATTATTTTAATCATATTTTTAATATTTATTTATTTTTTAATATTAAGAAAGGGTAGTCTTAAAATAACTAGATTTCCTTTTCTGATATTTTTAAATAAATAAATATCATACTTTTATAAATATATATTAATTTATTTTATATTTAATTTATTTTTTGAGAAATGTTTTATTAATATTTATTTATTTTTTTAATATTAAAAAGGGGTTGTCTTAAAGCAACTAGAAGTCATTTTCTGATATTTCTAAGTAAATAAATATCTTATTTATAAAAAAATATAAAAAATATATTTATAAAATTAATATATTTTCTTGGAATTATACTAATAAATTTGAAATCACAGGATTATGAATTAAATATATTTTTGAATTATTAAATTCCACTATTAAAGACAATTTATAATCGACAGGGACCAATTTTGGGCGTTGTGGAGGTGCTAATCCCTAAACGTAATCGACCACGCATCCTTTTTTTATTAAAAAGAACAAATTTTTGGTTAAAAGCAGACCGATTTATCTTTTAACTGATATTTTCTTAAAACTCTATTAAATATGATTTTTAGGTATTCGACGTACCTAACCCAAAAGGCCGTTGGCGATTCCAAAATATTTCTTTAAAAATACCATTTATTTATTCACATTACATTCCCGCCAAGAAAATTTCGTATCCGGGCGAAAACCGGTTACGACAATCCCAACATAACTTCAATCCACACAAATTATTTGTTGCTTTACAATAATTGACTAACATGTGGAACATCATTCAAACATAGAAGATAAGAGTTAGCCTTACTCATCTCGTGCCTCTGCAGCCTTCTATTGTTGTTTATCAAATGAATGTTCTTGCAAGTTTTGGAGTTTTAGAAAGATAAAAAAAAAACTTTAAAACCCAAGTAAACTTAGAAAAAAAAACAACTCTAAATGACAGTAAACTTTAGAGTTTGTACAATTTTTTCACTTAACTATAAAACACTTCAATTTTAACACTCTATTTTACTTTTGGTTTCAAACACCAGACCGTAAATCGTTAATGGCGCAATATTGTGGCCGTCTTCTTTCCCTTGAACCTTAGTTTGTGTATTGATATATTCACTAAACTTTGAAATGCTTTATTTTTAGAGAAAATAACCTCAGTGACCAAAAATCTCAGATAATATACGATTTTGACCAACTTTTTTTGGATTTGCGAAAATGACCAACAAAATCGCAATGCGATCTCCACTATCGCAAATTCGCGTTGCGATTTTCCATTTCGCGTTGCGATAGTTGAAAATCGCGTTGCGATTTTCCATTTCGCGTTGCGATAGTTGAAAATCGCGTTGCGATTTTCCATTTCGCGTTGCGATTTTCCGTTTCGCGTTGCGATAGTCTACAGTTGTCGTTGCGATTTTCCAAATTCGTTGCGATAGTCTACAGTTGTCGTTGCGATTTTCCAAATTCGTTGTGATAGTTAAAAAAAGATTTTGTTTCTTAAGAATTTTCTCTAAAAAGATAGTATCCGCGCGGACGTGTCGAAGACACGTATTACCACGACCACGACCACGACCACGACCACGACCACGACCACGAGACGGACGGCGGCGGCGGTGCGCGAGAGTCCCCCTTGTTCTCTATCACTCAACAAGGAAGTGGGAAAGCCAAGCCTTAAATACCATTCCCAATAGTGTTTCCAATACAATGTGGGATTGAGCATTACCAACACTTGTTTCCAATACAATGTGATTATTCAGGAAACAATTACCAATCATGCACCTTAAAACAACTGAATCAACAACCAATTACATTAGTATTATACGATTAAATATGTCATAATTAAAAGTCAATCTACAATCAATCGCGATTATTGCAATTTTAAGCAAAACATTCAAAAATAATATCACTATTTAAGGCTCAATCCCACATAGTATTGGGAACAAGTGTTGGTAATGCTCAAATCCCACATAGTATTGGAAACACTATTGGGAATGGTATTTAAGGCTTGGCTTTCCCACTTCCTTGTTGAGTGATAGAGAACAAGGGGGACTCTCGCGCGCCGCCGCCGCCGTCCGTCTCGTCTCGTCTCGTCTCGTCTCGTCTCGTCTCGGGTCGGGTCGAAATGTTTTCAAAAAGCCTTCGGGAGCTTTTTGATATTTAAATCCTCCAGGTCATCTGTAAGACCTACAGTGCAAGATGAAAATGTTAAAAACATTCTACCCAGAGGTCTTATGAATGGCCCTGAGGTCTTATCATCTTGCACTGTAGGTCTTACAGATGACCTGGAGGATTTAAATATCAAAAAGCTCCCGAAGGCTTTTTGAAAACATTTCGACCCGACCCGAGACGAGACGAGACGAGACGAGACGAGACGAGACGGACGGCGGCGGCGGCGCGCGAGAGTCCCCCTTGTTCTCTATCACTCAACAAGGAAGTGGGAAAGCCAAGCCTTAAATACCATTCCCAATAGTGTTTCCAATACTATGTGGGATTTGAGCATTACCAACACTTGTTCCCAATACTATGTGGGATTGAGCCTTAAATAGTGATATTATTTTTGAATGTTTTGCTTAAAATTGCAATAATCGCGATTGATTGTAGATTGACTTTTAATTATGACATATTTAATCGTATAATACTAATGTAATTGGTTGTTGATTCAGTTGTTTTAAGGTGCATGATTGGTAATTGTTTCCTGAATAATCACATTGTATTGGAAACAAGTGTTGGTAATGCTCAATCCCACATTGTATTGGAAACACTATTGGGAATGGTATTTAAGGCTTGGCTTTCCCACTTCCTTGTTGAGTGATAGAGAACAAGGGGGACTCTCGCGCACCGCCGCCGCCGTCGTGGTCGTGGTCGTGGTCGTGGTCGTGGTCGTGGTCGTGGTCGTGGTCGTGGTAATACGTGTCTTCGACACGTCCGCGCGGATACTATCTTTTTAGAGAAAATTCTTAAGAAACAAAATCTTTTTTTTAACTATCACAACGAATTTGGAAAATCGCAACGACAACTGTAGACTATCGCAACGAATTTGGAAAATCGCAACGCGACTGTAGACTATCGCAACGCGCAACGCGATTTTCAACTATCGCAACGCGAAATGGAAAATCGCAACGCGAAATGGAAAATCGCAACGCGAAATGGAAAATCGCAACGCGATTTTCAACTATCGCAACGCGAAATGCAACACGAATTTGCGATGATGGAGATCGCGTTGCGATTTCAACTATCGCAACGCGAAATGGAAAATCGCAACGCGATCTCCAACTATAGCAACGCGAAATGGAAAAACGCAACGCGATTTTCAACTATCGCAATGCGAAATGCAACGTGAATTTGCGATAGTGGAGATCGCAATGCGAATTAGAGATCGCACTGCGATTTTGTTGGTCATTTTCGCAAATCCAAAAAAAATTGGTCAAAATCGTATATTATCTAAGATTTTTGGTCACTGAGGTTATTTTCTCTTATTTTTATGCGTATCAATTTGGTCCCTACGGAAAATCATCAGCTCTTTCGATCATTGGTGTAGGTTAATTGTTGCTTGTCATTAGCCGCCATTCATGGTAAGATAAAGTATCAAAACGTTTACATTTCACTCGTAATTTTTCTATGATTTTGTTTACGAAACCTATTCAAAATCAATAAAAAACATCTAAAAATTCAACAGATCCACGATTAAAATAAACATGAAAGCTAGATTACATATGTTTATTAAAAAAACTACATTATCATTGGTTCGAAATCTAAATACCCAAATTGTTTGATTTTCTCCCTTATACTGTGAACAATGCTAGTGTCTGACTCATCTAGCACCACCACCAGCAATGATGGATCATAAATATTTTATGAACAATTTCCACATTCAGAAATCAAATATCCTTTCCTCCAAAACGAACAAGTTGTTCCATTCCATCAGAAAGTAGAAAATTTGACACAAAATAGATGGGAGAAAAGAAGTGCAGAGTAAATACAAATGAACCAATGATTTCACAATGTCCTTCAAAAACACCGGGTTTATGTTTATCAACAATCCCCAAGAGGCAAGTCCAAATTCTTTTACCTTGCACCTCAGTCATCATCTTTAAATTCCCTGTTCAGAACAAAAGCTTTTATATATTCTCGTGTTCCATACTGTTACATCTTGTTCAATTTGTTGGATGTCACTTCTTAAGGTGATTAGATGAACCCAGTCAAATTTCAAGCAATTACAGGGTGATCATACTCTGGGATATAGTCATCCCTGAAAATTTCAAATTTTCATGTAATTTTTTGTTTATATATTTTCTATTGATAAGATGTTTATTCCGTCAAAAAAAATTTATAAGTTCTGGCATAAAATCATAAGTACTTCTGCGAATTCATACCTGCGATCAAGGTAACGCGGCTGAATCCCACTACCTTGGCAAGTAGTGCATGTTAAAGAACCTACTCCTTCGCAGTTGACGCATTTGGACACCTCTTTTTCATCCCCGCCAAGCTCTACACTGATCGTGCCACTTCCCATACAAAATCTACACCTCTCTGCATCATCACAAACACTTTGAATTACTCAATCAAAACAAAGCTTTCCTTTCTGAATATACTGGATTCTTTTAGTTACAACAAGGAACAAGTTTTTACTATACTAGAAAAGGAACTACTTACGGGCACCGGTGCCATTGCAAGGGAAGCATGGTTGGGTATTTTCTCTGTTAGCCTGCAAAAAAAAAAAAATGATCCAATTCTTTTTCTTTTGTTCCCAGAATTCAATCCAAAGATTGGTAAACAAGCAACTAACAGCATTATCGATCTGGGTTTCGTAGAAGATTGGAATGCCGATCCCAACAGCAACGCTGACAAGTCCAACCGTCACTGCTACTACCTGAAAACAACTTCTTCCAGGTTACTTTTAATAACATAATTATTCAAAAATTTAAAAGGTTATATCAATTTCACTGCGAAAGGGTAGAGGAAGAACCGTGTTCTGATCAAATTCAACTGCTCTGATGCATGGACAAAAGGCCGGCGACCGTTGATACCTTCCACATTTGAAGGACAACGACGGAGTCGAGAGTTTGAGCGGGCTGCAAAGAAATGGAGAGTGAAGGCGAGAGAGCGAGGGAGTGATTGACATTTTGCCTCAGAATTCGAAAGGGGAAACGGAGAAGAGCGAAACTGAGAATCTAAATATACGGCTAGCAATGGCGGATTTAAGATATGCATTTTATTTGTGGGATTGGTATCAAATTCGATGTGGGTCACTACACAGTTGAAGAATTTCTGTTCTACACGTGGCGCTCTTTCCTGCCGACTGGAAAATATTGGAGCCTCGTTGGTTTGTTTTGGGCTACGTTTCCGGGTTGATGACAGGTTTATTTGCCCAATAACATTGGAACCATCTCGTTTTGGATTGGATTTTGTATAATCCATTGTATGGCATGGCACCATTTCTATATTTTTCACACCTCGTCGGCCTATACTGGATTGTTTAGTAGCCGAAGCTTGGAAGATGGCATCAACGTACGAAGAAACGAAAACCCTAGTCTTTTATTCGAGGAGCTTCTGCATTGATAAACTTTTGAGATTGTTTTTATTTAAATAAATTTTATCTCTTTTTAGACGGTCTCTCTTAAAACATAAGACCTTTAGGGGGAGTTTGGATGGAGGAGTTTGGATGGGGGAATGTGGGATTCTCATGGGAATGAAATCCATATTCCCCCGTTTGGTTAGTCTGAGAATCTCATTCTCGGTAATGTTAGATTACTAATAGTGGATTTGTTCGGTTATATTACCAGGAATGTCATTACCTCCATTTCCTTGGGTATTGTTGGATTACCGGCGTTTTGGACTAAAATGCTTATAAATTTTTTTTTCAAAAATATCCTTCTGTCATTGAATAATAAAAATTCTACGAAGGTTAAATTACAAATTTATCCTTAAACTATTTTAGATTTACAAAAAAATCTAATTAAAATTTTATATGAAGTTCAAGAGTTAAAATAAAAATTTACCCTTTCATTAAATCTTTTTATATATTCAATTTTGTAAAAAAATTATATAAATTTTATGAATTTAAATTTTTTAAAGAAAATATATAAATATTTTCAACTTGTTAAAAAAACAAATATATAATAAGGACAATTTGGTCAAATATATATTCCAATAATCTTTTATTCCTTTAACCAAACACGGTAATCTTACATTCTTGCTAAGCGAACTAAACATAAAATACAACATTCACAGTAATCCTATTCTCTGGTAGTCTTACATTCTCACTGGTAATCTTACATTCCGTGAACCAAACGCACCCTTAAGATTGTTTCTCTTGAAACCAGTTTTGTCTCTTTTGAGACAATTTCTCTTGAAATATAAAACCTTTGAGAATATTTTTCTTGAAATTAATTTTGTCTCTCTCGAAACAGTTTCTATTAAAACATAAACATGTGAGATTGTCTCTCTTGAAACAGTTTCTCTTGAAAAATAAAATCTTTGAGATTGTTTCTCTTGAAATAAATTGCCTCTTTTGAGATAGTTTCTCTTGAAACATAAACATGTGAGATTGTTTCTCTTGAAACAAATTTTGTCTCTCTTGAAAAAAATATTTGAGATTGTTTCTCTGGTAGTCTTACATTCCCACTGATAATCTTACATTCCGTGAACCAAACGCACCCTTAAGATTATTTCTCTTGAAACCAGTTTTGTCTCTTTTGAGACAATTTCTCTTGAAATATAAAACCTTTGAGAATGTTTTTCTTGAAACTAATTTTGTCTCTCTCGAAACAGTTTCTATTAAAACATAAACATGTGAGATTGTCTCTCTTGAAACAGTTTCTCTTGAAAAATAAAATCTTTGAGATTGTTTCTCTTGAAATAAATTGTCTCTTTTGAGATAGTTTCTCTTGAAACATAAACATGTGAGATTGTTTCTCTTGAAACAAATTTTGTCTCTCTTGAAACATTATCCCTAAAGATGGTCAGTCATCCTCATCGTGTAGGAACCGTGTCATCCACTGACTAGATCTCCTCATCACGTAGGAGCCGTGTCAACCTTAGATAACCAACTGTCTTCATCACGTAGGAACCGTGCTATCATCATCCCTAAAGATGTCCACCCGTTCTCATCACGTAGGAATCGTGTCATCCGCCGACCAGATCTCCTCATCACGTAGGAGCCACGTCAACCTTAGATAACCAGCTGTCCTCATCACGTAGGAACCGTGTTATCATCATCCCTAAAGATGGCCAGCCATCATCATCACGTAGAAATCGTGTCATCCACCGTCCAGATCTCCTCATCACGTAGGAGCCGCATCATCCTTATATAACCAGACTTCCTCGTCGTGTAAGAACCATGCTATCTCCATTTGTCCCTAAAGATGGCCAACAGTACTCATCACGTTGGAACCGTGTCATCCACCGACCACATCTCTTCATCACGTAGGAGTCGCGTCATCCTTAGATAGCCAGACTTCCTTATCGCGTAGAAACCATGTTATCTCCAATATCCTTAAAAAACGACCACAACACTTCATCGCGGATAAGCAACATCGTCCTTAATTATCAAATCTTCAAAGTCAAAAAGGAGAATCAGACAAAAATTCATTGTCTTATCGTCTTTGCCCTATTCTTGTTAACACAAGAATGTGCGAAGAGGGGCAGCTGTAGACACCCGTTTTTGTCCGAGTCTTTTTTATTATTATTATTTATTATTATTATTATTATTATTATTCTAATTTACATTGTAGGCCCAAATTACAACCTAACCCAGATACAACTCGAAGCCCGCTCAACAACCCACCTGGAACCCAAACCAGACCCGAGATCCGACCGGTCCAGACCCGTTAGTGAGCCCTAGACCCGGTTAGGTTTCTTTACCTGGTCGACTGACCCTGCTGCTCTAGTCACCATACCCCGCTGTAACTCCATCCCGTGCCCATACCTCCACGACAGCAGCAAGGCCACCCTCTCCTCCAAATCATGGCACCACCGAATGCATCAACAAAGAGATCAGCAAACAAATTTTTTTGTTTATAATTTGTAAAGGGTATATAATCCAAAATGAAAAGAAAGCAATGGAACGAATTTTTATCAGGAATCAAAAAACATAACCAAAAAATAAATTCTCAAGGAAAATGTATTATAGACATTTTTTTCTTAATATACATGTTAAATTATTTGAATGCAAAAAAAAAAAAAGAGTTTGTAATTTCTTTGTTCTTTCAAATGCAAGTTCTATGATTTCTAAAAAAATAGAATATTGGGAGTTAGAATTACCTTACTGCCAGAATGCTTTGTCGGGGGTAATGGGGTCGTCAAGGAGAAGGTAGAATTTATTCGGTGTTGGTTTGGGCTGTGGCGCCACCATTTGTGGTGGTCAACCACGTGGTTGCTTCCTCGACCAAGGAGAGGAGGAAGAGATTATGTTCAGCTTTGTCGGGGTCTGCTGGTGAGGGGTTTTCTGTGTGTCGATTGTTGCTAATCAAGGGGCCACCCATGTATGGTGGCCTGAGCGTCGGGCTCTTTAGGCGCCGACCACCACACGCGTGAAGAGAGGAGTGAGCAAATGTTAGAGATTTAATTTTTTCTGGCGGAATAAAAATGGGGGTGAGTAGTAGACTTATTTTGTTATTTTCGGTAAATCACTCTAAGGTCCCTAAACCTTTAGCGTGTTTTTGCGTTTCAGTCACCAAATCATGGGTTAATTACTTATAGGTCCCCTAACTTTAGGAATACATTTGTGTTCTTATCACTAATTTAGGGTTAAATTATTGTTTGGTCCTTGTCTTTAGCATATGTAACATCTTGGTTGGCGATTCGTGGGGAAATTTCCCTAGGTCCCTTATATCTTGCCGTGTTTTTACATTTAGGTCATGGATTTGTTTTGTTTGTTTTGATTTAAGATGCATGTTTTGTTTTACTTTTATTCTGGTCACTTGCTATGTTATTTATTTGTTTTGAATTGTTCCGTTAAATTTTATTATTTTTATTTAGGTCACTTTTTAGTCATATTTCGCTTATTATCTTCATGTTATGATTTATTTCACATTTTTCATATAATTTGTAATGTTTATATTTTAGTCAATAATAAAATCACCTTCGTTTTTGTCATGTAAGTCCATTTATTTGCATGTTGTTTTGTTTTAACCCTTATGTCCTTGGATATTAAAAAGTATTGCTTTAACTCACTATTCATGTTTTAGCCCCTGCTAGTTTTGTCATGTATGTGTTTTGGTCATTATTCTAACTTAATTTCTGAAAAAGGAATATGGATTAATACATAGGTAGCCCTTTATTTTTATTTTACTTTAATAGGGTATGTTATAATTAGTTTCATTTTAATTATTATTGTATTTTAATCCCTTGCATTAGTTAGATGCAATTTCTTTTCACTTTGCCATATATATGTTTATATTTGTTTAGTGTTATTTGTATCTTGTTATGAAAATAAATCTATTTACTAAGTACTCTTAATGCTTGTATACACATGTATATCATTGTATTTAATCTTAGCCTATTTATTTATTTGTTTGTTATTTTAAATTTATAAGATATCCACTACTCAGTATTTCACTTGAATATTTTTAAGAATGTATTTGTAGAACGGCGTGGAAAGTATCACTTTATCGAAGTGGTGCAATCCGATACGACGTTCAAACAGATTACGGACTTGAAAGCGCGAATCCTTCTTTTTATGAACTTATAAAAATCATTATATTTTTATTTTATTTTCATATTGTTTAGTGTTTTAATTTTAATTATTTATTTATTTATTTATTGAATTTTAGTATTAATGATGTGTGTTTTGGAAAAATAAATCATGATGTATTCTATACAAATTTTCGATATTAACTCTTTTTTAATTCGAAGATAGAATATTCTTGTACGGATGAGAAATAGTTGAGATAGCTTTTCCGACGGAGGATTACAAATTTCAAGATTTCTTATCAAGGTAAAGAATTTTCTTTAATTAATCAATTAGGAGCAAATTAATTAAACTTCAATAAATGAATCGTACTTTAAATATCGATTCAAATTTTGTTTTCCACCATTACGACAACGTGTAAGCGATTAAGTACCAATTTTGGGCGTTGTGGGGGTGTTAATCATTCCTCACGCGTAACCGACTCCCGGACCCGTTAAATTGAATCTTTGACAACGCATACCAATTTTTGTCTAAAAATTTATTTTTCTTAAAATTGTTTTAAAAGACGTTTTTAGATGTTGGCCTACCTAACCTAAAGATCGATGGCGACTCATGTTCAATTTAATCAAATCAATT